GGGACAAGAAGCAACGGATGGAAATTAACCAAAGAGAGAAGCAACCTAGAACTAAGGAGAAACTTCCTGACAGTTAGAACAATTAACCAGTGGAACAACCTGCCTCCAGAAGTGGTGAATGCTCTAACACTGGAAGTTTTTAAGAAGAAACTGGACAACCATTTGTCCGAAATGGTATAGGGTTTCCTGCCTCAGCAGGAGGTTGGACTAGATGACCTCCGAGATCCCTTCCAACTTTATCATTATTATTATTATTATTATTATTATTATTATTATTATTATTATTATTATTATTATTATTATTATAAAAGAAAAGCTTGATGGAAGGGAGGGAAGTCAGTGCTAGTGAGGATAAACCACCCCCCCAAAAAAAGATGGAAAATACAAACTGCTACATTTTCAGTTAAAAGATGTAGAGCTAAAAACTGCCAGTAACACTGGGATCAAAAGGCACATATACCTCTATGCTCTACAAAGTAAGATATAGTCAAAACAAAGTTAGAAAATACCCCAGAAGATAATAACTGCTGCAAGGATGGTGGGGGAAAAAAACTGAATTGTTGTTGTTGTTGTTGTTTTCTCACACAGGCCAGGCACACCTTCAGGCGGTCAAGACCTTTTTCCAGCGCCCAGAACCCAAACGCGAGTCAAGGGACCCCGAGCCACGCAAACCCAACACCGTTCGCGTTGGCTGCCGAGTTTCTCACGGGGACCCTTCCCCACCCCACCCCACCCCACCCCACCCCACCGAAGCCGCTCAGCAGGAAGCCGAGCGTATAGCCTTTATCGGGAAGCACCTACGGCGAGCACCAGGGGGTGTCAGGTACCGCGCGCGCCCTTCTCCCGGAGCAGAAAGGGCAGCCACTCCGGGGAGAGCCCCAAGCGACAGGGAGACTGGTCGTGCGAACTAGTTCCCTTTTGGGCGTTCTCGCTTGGGAGAGTCCCAAGCGGAAAAGTAACCGGCCCCCGGGAAGGACGAGGAGGAGGGGGAAAAACAAAACAATGAAAGACCGCGTGGATGACTCTGCTTTTCTTCGTGCTCTTTGGGGGCGGGGGGAGGGTGAAGCGAGTGGGGGGGGAATTCCCGCGCGCCCCGGACCCGGCAGCAGGTGAGCGCGTCCGGCCCGAGCTGAGGCGGAGCGCGCGCGGGGCGGAGGAAAGAGGGGAGGTGCGAGCGTGCCAGGGGAGGGCGGTCCGACGCGGAGGCAGCCCCGCTCGACGGGCTCTCACTTTTCAGAGCGTTGCCTTCGACTCTGCTGCTTTCCAGCTCGGTCTGCCCCTTCCGAGGAGACGGGTAAGGGATTCGCTGGCGCGAAGGGGGGTTACGGCGCTCGGAGACTTCCTCCGTCCTAGCGGGGAGAGAGGAGGGAGCGGTTCCCCCTTTGGCTGGGAGCTCTTCGACTGGCTCCTTCGCGAATGAGGAAGCGGCGCAGGCAATACTCTTTTGGACGCGGGCTCTTCCCACCAGCCCCCTGCTTCCGGTCCTGAGGGGGTCGTATGGACGCGCTGAGCATCTTTAGCCTCTCCGCCTTCCTTCGGAGGTGCGGTAGAGTCACCCCCTTCAGCCGGCGGTCCATCTCGAGTTCCTCCCTCGGAAGAGCGCCTCTCGCTTTGGGTTGGGTGGCGGACTTTATGAAAGAAGCTCCGAGGAGCTGCCCTTTTTCCTCCTTCCTGCTTCCCTCTTTGCGCTCGCAGGGAGTCCGGAATGGGTCAAAGCGCTGCTGAGTTTAGCAGGACCGGCTGGCGGGGCTTTCATAACTGCTGGTTAGAACAGAGCTGCTGTGTGCAACATCTGTTGGAGGACGAGCCCCGCCAGGACTTCCTTGTTTTAAGAGACTCCATGTTTTCGTGAAGTACTTTAGTACATTTCTGAAAACCGAGCTTGTGTCTTAATCAAAAAAAAATAGGAGGTTGATGAGTTGGTAAGGCATCATCTTTAGCCAGTTGATCTAGGTAGCACAACTATTGTTGCAATTTATCCATCCTGTCAAATTCTGCCTACATTGTCAAAGATTCTTTGCGAAGAAAAACCAAAAGCCAAGGACCCTTTTGACAAATGGAGGTTTGTTTGGAATGAGAAACCTGAGGCTACTGTGTTCAGAAAACATTTGTGAAAGGTGCTAAATCAGAAATTTGATGCTAGCAAGAGGTATGCTCACTTGAAAGGATACAGTGAGTGTGCTGAAAATATTATGGCAACATTGGCAAGTGATCACGCTTAATACTACTATCCAATAAAAAACATTCGGCATGTGTGTATTTGCCTAACTCTTCTAACAATACTGCTCTGGACAGAACAGTTGACAGTGGTTGACAGATTAATTGGTTTTATAAAACATGCCTTGTAATCTTCATTTGCTTTGTGCAGTGATCAGTTGGGCCACAACTGCTCACACCCTAATTTCTGCATCTAGAAGCATCAAGCTGAGTGTTTTAGTGCTTAGGAAGTTAGGGGTTTTCCCATGTAGACTAACTGGAGTGGGGTTCAGAGGTGGTCAGTAATTGTTTTAGCTTGAGGCAGATGGATGTTTGCTTTCCTGTTCAATGAATGGATAAGTTTGATTGCATTAGTCATCTCAAAGTATATGCCATGTAAGTATGTTTCTGTTGGAAATCTGTTATCTGCTTGTGAACCTTAATCTTTAATAGTGGGTGGACAGAATGAATTTGAACTTTTACATTGTTTCATGTGATAAAAAGATAGGCTGAAGCAAAACATTTTTTTTTATTTAGCCCCTGGGGTTGCTGGCAATAACACTTGAGAGCATTGGATTTTTTAATTGTCTTTGTTTAGAGTCTTTCATGTGCCTAAATATAACTTCTGGCCTAGCAAATTGTTAAATAAATAAATAAAGTGAAGGTACATTCCTAGAAATTAAAATGTTGAGTCAGCTGACTACCGAGCATGACTAATTTGGCATGCTAGTAAGTACATAGTACCGTAAATACCAATGGTGTCAGAGAGTTTTAAATTCTTAACTTTATTTCTAAAATTTCAAATATTCCATTAGCCTAGTAAGATTGGGAAGCTCCAATCTACATAAATGTCTATCCTGATTGGAGGTATCTTGTTACTGAACTCACCAGGGACTGAATTTTTCTACATGGTTGCATTACTGGTATTACTAGTGGGAAATAACTTTGGCATTGCAAATTTGCATATTTTGGGGAGGAATGTTTATATCAAGTAAATTTCAAAGTGTGCAGTATGGAAGCTCCAGTACATATTTTACTAGTATATCTTATAGGTAGCAAACAATAATTATTCAGGTCTCCCAGAGATAGAGTTTTTTACATTGATTGATTATATGTTCCTAAATTTTTGTAGATTTTTTTAAAATGCATTGAACAATTTTTTGTTGCTTCTAGTCACAATAGAACTATTCTTAAACAAAAAGTTTAAATTTTATACAAGAGACTATTAATTTTAATCTAGTCTTGAGACAGAAAATATTTAGTTCCAAAAAGTACAACAAACTATATGTAGAGAATATAGAGGCAGAAACTAATAATTTAATTCATAAGTCTGAGAATATTGTAAATTGGTGCAATTTGTTTATTCTCAAATTAAATGTAGATCTTCAGAACTTTAGAACATCTGGCTAAAGGGAGAGTAAAACATTATGTTAAACAGAAGAATTATTTATCCTTTGGCTTCAGTCCTATGTACACTTTCCTGAGAGTAATCTCTGTTGCATCTGGTGGATCTTCCTTCTAAGTAAACATATAAATATTTCATTGTTCATGTATTCATTGTACAGCATAGTACTGTAGTGTGTTTTCAGTGCTCCTTAAAATGATAAAAACACACTGGATCCTTGGACCACTCATTAGCATTTAGTCAAATCTACTTGTTTTATAGAGTGTTACAGAGATAAAATGGCGGGGTATATGTGTGCATGGAAAAAAATGTAGATGACTGGATTTGGGAATATGAGTATCTTGTCTTTATTAGAATTCTAAAGTCATATTTAATTCAGATGTTTATATAGTGATCATCTATTTTACAAATTTAAGAATGATGAATATGGAAATAGCAGTATATTATTTAGTGAATAGTGATTTTTTTATTTTGGAGCAATCAAATTGCTCTCAATGATACTAATGTAAAACTATGAGATTTTTATTTATTAAACCTTTATTTTTGATATTTTTGTATCTCAGAGTGTATTTGTATATTTTAACATATTAACTGTATCCTTAATTGTTTGCTGTGGTAAAATAACACACTTTTAGTAGAATGTGAAGTCCACAGTGAATTAAGTGAGCATATACAGTACATGTAAATGTTATCCATTGATTTGGATGGATTCCTGTTGCTGAGGATGTAGACAAGATTCCTGAATAAATTCAGTTGCTTCTTTCTTCAGCCTTGCTCATCTTGGTTTGTCATAGTTAATAATGAAGGGGTAGCCAATTAGATCCAAGGAGACTGTGAGCTCCCGTAAGAGTTGTCATTACCTTCTTCTTTAAACAAGACGTTAATTGAGGCATTCATGCACACCCTAAATTTAGCTTTATGTCTGGATTTGGTAATCTTGGGGGATGACATTCATCAAGAGAGAGAGACAGAGATATACTTGAGTTGTATGGCTTAATATCTTTTAGTATGATCAGTCATGGAATCATTCTGAATTAATTGTCTGATTTAGGATGCAAACACTTTTTTCAGGAGTTTCTGTCCTATTTGGCTAGCAGTTTGCCAAGATATTGCTGGAAATAGTTGTGGCAGTTTTGTTTTAGAATCTTACATGACTTTCTTTTATCCCCCATGCCACCTTTCTGAAATTGTAGGGAGATGTCCATCTAGCTTGGCTGAGTAAGGGATGCTTTGAATAGAACCTGAATTGGATAGTAGACTGTGAAATAAATGAAATCATAGCAAGATGGGAATTTTGTTGTTAGAAAAAGCTTTGCCCGTATGAATAAGAATGTCTCTAGAGTAAGATACATTGTTCCTGAAGGATCAGGTGTACAATTTGTGGTTACTTCTGGATCCATTGCTGACTTTGGAAAACACATTAACAAAGCCTCGAGGAATCATTATCAATTTAAGTAAATGCATTTGTGACCTCTTCTAAATAGGGATGGCCCGATACTAATTAAACATGATCTAGTATCATGTATATGGATTATCTTTATTTGGTTAGACTGCTAGTTTATTCACTGAGGACAAATAACAAATAACAGTACATTCTGTCCTCATTGCCAGTCCACTTGTAGGCATAATTCCTAATGGTAATTTTGATCCCTTAATCTGCCATGAGGCAAATGTATCTCCATTTGGATCCTCAACACAGTGCCCCAGGATCCTAATATCCATACAGATATCTCTTTTGATGTCCACTAGATCCATCCTGCAGTTGATTTTATTATTCAATTCTTGTAATCAAAAAGCATTGTCCTCGAGCGTAGCATTTTCTCAAAGAATGCTTCTGAGCTCACGTTTTATAGATGTGCTTATCTATCCTGAAAAAAAAATAGAAAACTAAAGAGATGATAGAAAGCAAATTCACAAGGTGCTTTCTGATAAAATAGATAAATGTGACAATCATTCTGTGGCTACAATACACTCAGAATTCCAAATCTGTACCAATGCAGTGCAAAGACGCTGTAGACATATTGCTATGCAGACAGATTGCTATATCTCTTGAAAAAGCCTCTATTTTTGTTGAGAGAAAGCTAAGGAAAACTCATGGAAAGGTCATAAAATATCAGCATATATTGGAAAAAACTACATCTAAGGAGGCTTGATGTAAAATGTTTTAAGAAATAAGTTAAGGATGTACAATGTCCCATTAATTGTTCATTAATGGGATCAATATGTGCATATTGAATTCTTAAGAAGTTGGAGATAATGTTTATCAGAAGCATGGATGTGTACATTCTTTTGATTGCAGATATTGTCATATTGTTGAAAACTGAAAACTGAATTGATTTGCAGTGAATGTTAGTTTGTGTAACACAGCAAGAAATATGGATCTGAAAAATTTAATTATCAAAAAATATAGATATACTTGACAGGGGAAATGGAATGAATTATGCTGGTAGATATTGATTAGTACTGTATATGGTCTTTTGCAAAGATTTATTTTCATTTTTTTATTTTATTAGTCATGCACAAAAATAACACAACATAATACAAGAAAAAGTGTATATAAATGTGATAAACAACTAACTACAAGTCCTTTAACATGTCACTAAATCTAGATCATACGGTAATGTAATATTCTAATTGATTTTCACATATAAAGGGATTTGAAAATATTGACAAAAAGCAAGTTTTTCCTTCAA